GCTGATGCCTGGAATTTGTCTTAAAATCTGAACTCTAGGCGGATATAGGAAAGACACATTATTGCAATCATTACTACATCATTAAAGGAGAAGTACAGCCAAAGTTTTTTTGGCTGTACTTCTCATGTGGATCATGGAAGTGCAGTTCGTTCTGCACTCCTGTGACCCGTTCTCAGCTGACAACGGACTGAAATCCGCTGTCAGCTGATGTCACTCATGCTGACTTCACAGTTGGGATCCACCCCAGAGACTGGAGCGGAACCCTGCTCAGCCTCTCAGCAAAGCCTGAGCCAGCCACTCCCTCCACAGCCCAGCACTCTAGTGAACGTTGGGGGGGCTGAGTAGAGAGCGGTGACTGACAGTCCTTCTCTCTACTCAGAGGGTAGAGGAGCACTCAGTGATCACCAGTCAGGTGATCGCTGAGTTCTCACCCGTAGAACCTATGGGGGACAGATGAAGCGTAGGACCAATGCTTCATCCACCCAGATAAGTATAATGGGGGGGGGGGGAAACAACCCCATACTTCTCTTTTACAGTCATTGTGATGGATACTTTTTAAAAAAATAACCCGTGTTATACTTACCAGCTCTCTGCAATGAGGAGCAGACCCAATCCTCCTCTTCTCGGGTCCCCCACAGGCACTCCTGGCCCCTCCCACCAGCTGAGTGTCCCACAAGCTGCTTTCTATAGAGTCACTCATGGTGCTCGCTTCTGAGCCTTGCTCTGTGTGTCCATAAGCCCTGCCCCCGCTCCCTCTTTACTGGCTCCCGTTGCTGTGTCATAGCCAATGAAGAGGGAGAGAGCTGAGAGAGCCTCTGCTCTCATGCACATTGCTGAATAAAGTTCAAGTCTAGGTAAGTAAAAGTGGGGTCTGGGAGGGGGGAGCTGATGGGAGAAGGTTTTTTACCTTAATGCTGAGAATGCATTAAAGAAAAAAAATACATTCTGCCTTTAGAACCACTTTAAATATAATTTTACATGAATATGAAATATATGAAAATATAAAAATGCAGCAGAAGAGGTCAATCAGTTCAGGGCAATTAACATGCTGATAGGAGGAGAAACCCAAGTGATAGGGAGATAGACACAGTACTTTAGCAAAGTAAATATTATTCAGTTAGGGTTTACATCTACTTCTACTTCCTCCTCTAAACACATTTCTGTTCTTCCATCCAGCATAATTTACAGTGGTCTGTCAGACTTTCTTTTCCCTTTTTTTCTGAAAACTGTCTAAATGTAGGTCTTTTTCATAGTTTTTCCCTTGCGGAATACCTGCCAGAATCACCTTACTGTAAAATAATATCTTAATGGATATACACTGCTCAAAAAAATTAAAGAAACACTTTGAAAAACACATCAGATCTCAATGAGGAAAAAAATCATGCTGGATATCTATATTGATATGGACTGGGTAATGTGTTAGAAACGTAAGGCTACCGCATCGTTTGATGGAAATGAAAATTATCAACCTACAGGGGACAGAATTCGAAGACACCCCGAAAATCAAAGTGAAAAAAGAATGTAGCAGGCAAATCCATGACAACATTGGGGCATGCTCCCATAAGACGTCAGATGGTGTCCTGGGGTATTTCCTCCCAGATCTGGACCAGGGCATCACTGAGGTCCTGGACAGTCTGAGGTGCAACCTGGCATCGTCGGATGGACTGAAACATGATATCCCAGAGGTGTTCTATTGGATTTAGTCAGGCGAGCATGGGGGCCATTCAATGATTTCAATTTCTTCATCCTCCAGGAACAGCCTGCATACTCTCGTCACATGAGGCTGGGCATTTTCATGTCCCAGGAGGAACCAAGGACCCACTGCACCAGCGTAGGGTCTGACAATGGGTCCAAGGATTTCATACCAATACCTAATGGCAGTCAGGGTGCCATTGTCTAGCCTGTAGAGGTCTGTGCATCCCTCCATGGATATGTCTCCCCAGATCATCACTGAACCACCACCAAAATGGTCATGCTGAACCATGTTACAGGCAGCATAATGTTCTCCATGGCTTCTCCAGACTCTTTCACGTCTGTCACATGTGCTCAGGGTGAACCTGCTCTCATTTGTGAAAAGCACAGGGCACCAGTTGTGGACCTGCCAATTCTGGTGTTCAATGGCAAATGCCAATCAAGCTCTATGGTGCCGGGCAGTGAACACAGATAGGCAGACATGGAAGGCAGGGTCACCTGATGACATCATGGGTAACCCCACCCCCATGTTTATCTATCTTTTGGCATGTGTCCTACACAGGACATGCCGCATTTGGCAGGTGGCATTTTTTTTTCCGTTTGAGTTGCTATACCTTATGATTGTCATTGGATCTACTTCAAGGGACATTTATTCTTGAGGGAAGTTTTTTTAATAAAGGATGTGTCAAAAACAGTCACTGACCGTACTTTTGACACTTTTCTTGGTGAATGGTCAGGGGTACTATGTACTCCATACTCATTTACATGGGGGCGGTATCTGGGGGCCCGTTTGTTAAAGCGGGCTTCCAGATTCTGATAATCCCCGCAGATTCCCACAACCACCGCCCAGTGTTGTGGGGAAGAGGCACTTGTTCCCATCAACATGAGGACAATGTGCTTTGGGGGGAAGCCCCCCTCCAATGTTTAGGGCAATGGCCTGGTATGGTTCTGTAGAGGGGGTTCATGCATCCCCCCCCCATTGCTGGCCAACTAGGCTGCATGCTCAGATAGGGGTCTTGTATGCATTTGATGGATTTTGGAGAGTCTCATGCAATTTAAAAAAAAAAGTTTGGTGTGGGGTTCCCCTCCATATCAGACCCAAAAGACACCATGTATTTTTTTTTAATGCAGACACTTGTTTGTTTACATGCTACTGTCAGTGGGGAATCCTGCTGACAGCAGAAATTTCTAACTAACAAATGCATCTGAAACAAAAATAAAATGAAATATTCCTGCGTGCACATATTTAGACTGCAGCACTACTTGGGACTTTTTTTCAAATGCATTTTTATCATTGTACACTATTGTTTGTTTTTTGGTGATTTGTACTTTATTATATGCATTTTCTTTGACTGTAAATATCACTAGACTATAGACAATAGTAAAATGTTTAGTTATCTTGTATTATTGTTACATTCCTGGTAAGAAAATTCTAACTAGTTTAGATATTGCTACAGATGTTTATGGTACAGGATTAATCAGTGCCTTTGTTATTGAATATGAATATAGTTGCTGGGGATATATAGGTATTATTAGGGTTGAAGAGCAAGAAAAACACTGAAGAATATCTGCATCCATGACTAGGCAAGAAACCAAATTGTATTCTCTGAGTATTTACTATGCAGTAGGCAAGCACATCAATTATGGTGTACATACGTCAAATTTACTAACAAATGTGGTTTGCTAAGCATTCTATACTCCAGGATCTATACATAATCCAGCTAAGTGGTGATGTAAAATATATTAAATGAAAAATGGCCTTTTCTAAAAAAATTTTTGGGCTATTTGTCATCTCTAAGACATTTTGCATTTGCATTGCATTTAGGAATAATACTGCTTGAGCTGGCCACTGATAAGAAAATATGACTGTAGAAAAACTCTAAAAGTCAAAAAAGTAGTCCATGCTTTGTGGAGGGTGCACACCTTCATAGTTTCTCTTAAAAGGGTCCCCACTAAATTAATATTTTAATCATTAGTACTTCAATGCTGGAGAGGTTAAGTATTTATTTTTGTTTTGGATAAAGAAGGGAGGGTCTGAAACCCCTGGTAGGTTCTAATTGTAGCCCCCCCTAGTGAGCTTCACCCCTCTTGCAGTCTTTGTGACCATTGTCACTGGGACTGAAAGTGAGAGAAAGCCAAAACATTAGATCTGTCACTGGAACAGAAATAGGGGGATCTCTAAATGGGGACCCTTGTTCAAGTGACTTCACTTATCTTGGATAGATCTTCTCTTAAAAATTTTTGTGTGTCAAGACAGGAAATAAAGGACATTAGTCCACAAAAACAGTATTATAATTAGTCCTCAGCTCTCAGATGTCCAAATCAATTGAAAAATAGTTCCTCAGCTGCTGGAAACATTCGCCCACAAGTGTATAATAGCATACAAATAGGACCAGCGCTTCTATAATCCACTAGCAAGCTTCTGTTCACCAACATGAAAGACTCTAGTAATTTTCTACTCTCACCAATACCATACATCTCAGCATGAATAAATGTATGGGATAGCTTCTATCTTCTCAAGTGTTCTTGAGAAGATAGAAGACACCACATACATTTGCTTTGGAACAAAAGAGCTTTATTTGATTCTTACTCATGCTGGGTCATATAGTCCGGTGATAGTCTAACATTATACAAAAACAGAAAAAATTGTGAGGGGTTTAACTAACCTCTACACGATCCAAAAACTAAAATAAAGCATTGCCATCATATAAAAGTTAATCCAACTAAAGGCTTCTTTTATATATCAGGATTAGTGAGACATCTGAGTTTGGGCATGCCATTCTTGTCATGGCATCACAAGAGGCTCCACATTCTCTCTCTCTCTTGGAGTTTACTTATAAAGAAAATGTAACAGGAGGAGTAGTAACACACCAAGGTAGTTGGAAACACCCAACACTAGACTTGTAAACAATGGTGGATAGACCTTAAATACCCAACCGACAGAAGAAGCCAGAGATTTATAACTAGCACACTTTGTCTATAACTGAAATATCAACTTTAAATGGAATGTCCATTCAGTCCAACTCCAGCCCTGCCCTGCTCTCTGCCAGTCAAAAGTATGGGCATCATTCAACCCAGAAGACTTAAAATATTTAATCGCAAAAAGAAATAACAGCAAGGGACAGTGTCAAAGAGAAGATGAATATTTGCAGCTTCTTTTTTATTTTCAGACCTCCTATTTGAAAATAAAATCCTGGAACTATCCTGCTACAGGACGGCAGGGCTGTGCAAAATCACGTATATATACATGATTTGCATTACTGGGTAGGGGGCGCGCGCCTACCGCTATTGGCAGCTATAGATGTCAATCACCTGGTCCCGGATGACAATTCCCGGCCGGCACTTGGCGATCATCGGGATAGCCAACAGAGTAAGAGACCAGTGTGTAAACAACACAAGTCTCTCTCCTGTCAGCATGGGCATGCTGTTTTGTATCTCGCACAGCAGAGAAATACAAACCTGCATGTCTCCCTAGTAAAACACAGCACACAGTAAAACACACACAGCACACAGTTAATCCTTTGATCGCCCCAGATGTTATCCCCTTCCAGCTCAGTGCCATTAGTACAGTGTCAGTGCTTTTTATTAGCACTGATCACTGTATTAGTGTCATTGGGGATGTCAGTGGCAGTTAGTCAGTTCCCACCCAGTGTCAGAATGCCCGCCGCAGTCCCGCTATAAGTCGCTAATCGCCGCCATTACTAGTATAAAAAAAAAATAATAAATTCCAGTATATATGTTTACCGCCATTGTAGATGCTATAACTTTCACGTTAAACCAATTAATTTACACGTATTGGGATTTTGTTAGCAAAGACATGTCCTAAATTTATGGCAAAATTTGATTTCTTTTTAAATTCTTTTATTGGATTATATTTTATAGCAAGCTGTCCTGCAAAAAGTCAAAAATATTGAGCAAAAAAATAAAAAATGCAGAAGTGATCAATTACCACAGAAAGAAAGCTCTGTTTATGGGAAAAAAGACATACATTTTATGTTTTGGGGTTTATTTATGTACAGCGTTACATGACCGTGCAGTTGTCAGTTCAAGTAACGCAGCACTCTATCGCAAAAAATGGCCTGGTCAGGCAAAAAAATAAAAAAATAAAAAATTGCAGAAAGCTATGATCAACGATTACATTTTATTTATGCACAGTTACATGGACGTGCAGGTTGCTTCAAGTAACGCAGCACCCTATCGCAAAAAATGGGGTCCAGGAAAGAGAGGTAAATCCTCTGGAGGGCAAGTGGTTAAATGAGGCAGCTGTAACTACAGGGATGAGCAATAATCAATTTGCCCTCTGTCTTGCCTAGCTTTCCCACATTTTACTTCCTGGGCAACATCAGTACAAAAGTTCAAGACAGTAACATGGATAGCACCAGACCTCTCGGAAATGCAGCACTATAAAAGGTAAAATAAAATCCCAAAAACATGAGCCTGTAATGAAAATAATTAGTATTTATACTTAATTTTTATTCTATTCAGTACTGGTCAGCCTTCAAAGTATAAACTCAACCATCACTGCCTTATGATTTTGCAGCAAACGTTGGAACTCGCACATGCCGCAGGTTATTTTTGTAAACAGGACCATTTGTGCAGGACAAGAATATGAATTATTAACAATTAGAAAATAGTTTTGGCTTTCATCCTTCTTTTAACAAATTTGACTTGAATAGAAGAACCTCTGAACAGATAAAAACAAACCCTCGGGATCAGTCACCCTTAAAGTAAGTCTAATAAAATATGTATAAAACAGTAAAAAAACAACCACTTTCTTTTGTCTTTGATTTAATTTGCCTGTGTAAAACAGAATCTAGCTACTAGGTGTAGAGAGTATGATACTCTTGGGATTTCAGGCGCTTATTTTAATGAACGTACTGTAAACCTTTTCTACACTGCCGATACAAAATTAATTAAATTCTATTATAATCTCAGTTCTGCATTTACTTCTACTGAAGGCTGAGCATAAATGTTTATCTAACTATTATTATTTATTTTCATAAATAATCTATCTATCTATCTATCTATCTATCTATCTATCTATCTATCTATCTATCTATCTATAGCCAAATGCTTGGCTAGAGACAGAGAGCATTTAGGACACAGTGCTACAGTGCTCTCTGGCTCCTAATGGACTTTAGCTGAATGGGTTACACTACCTTGCCTCCATCTACCAGGGGGAGCTGACAAGCAGAAGGAGCTCAAAAGACTTGATGGTTGGCAGCATTGAATCATGGGAGATGAAGATCAGGAAAGAAACGTTACTATGGCAGTTAATGGATGATTGGACTACAATTCCCAATGGATGCTGGGTATAAAGAGAGAGAGAGCTCTATTTTCACAGGTGGAATACTGAGGGATTTCCTTTTTGGTGCAAGGAGACCGAGGTGTGTACATTGCTGCTCCTGTGTGCAGATCAACTTGCCACAAGCCTGCAGCTGTGTGCTGAGGACCAGGGTCATACCAGGCAGATCCAGAAGTGGGCTGACATCTGAACAGCGGGACCTCTGTTGCTGTATTGTTGGGACTAGTGAGGGAACATTGCTGCAATTAACCTTTTGCTGCTAGCAGAGATTGGGCACAGGGGGACTGGTCATCTAACTAGAAGAATTATTTACTGCATGCAGGCTTTACTGGGACTGTAGTCATCTGCTCCACCATAAAGACTGGGCCCCAACACTAGCCGGCTAAAGAACTAGGGCTAAAGATTGCTCACTTAGCTGCTTCGCAAAAACTTTTCCTATTATCCACAGTAAGAGGTACCTCTTTAGGGAGTCTTACATTTAATCACTGCCATTCATATAGAGTGCACGCTAAAGTGGTTACAGCCTACTGTTACAGGTGAGTTATTGCATTGTTGACTATCATTGCTGTTACTGTTTTCTAATGCCATTACTTATTGCTGATTTGTGCATTGCCAGGTTTATTATAATTTAACTACATAGAACTCTATCCTATATTGCTATAGCCTAGTGAACATATTGTCTAGTGAATTGTGATTGACTTAATCCTTTACCTTTCTCATTTATGGGAATATTGCTATTTACTGCAACTCATGATAATATATTGGGTTAATTTACCAGTAACTAGTCTGATGTTTGCTTTTTGATACTGAACCTTATTTGTGTGCATACAAGGTATCTATATTTGTGCTCCCAGTAGCAGTGCAGTTTCCATTTCCATATCCTGGTGTGTCATTGGGGCTGAGGTTGTTTTTTGGGTTGAGGCAGAAAAACAGAAAACCCAATCTACCAAGCAGCTCCTGCAGAGGTAGTGCTCTAATTCTTGCATCACCTGGGTAAATTAGGACTCCCATGCCTCTTCTAAGTAGAAGGTTGGGAAAAATCCTGACTTTTTTTCCATTACATACACTTAAAGGAGGTTTCAAGTAGGACTCCCTTCTAAGAACATCATGTTCCAAGGCAGTAACATTGACTTCTAGCATGCAATGAATACGGGTCCAATTTTTTAACCACTTGCCCTCCAGACTAGGCCATTTTTTGCGTTTACAGCGCTACATTATTTTAACTGACAATTGCGCAGTCATGCAAATCTGCACCCAAATGAAATTTACGTCATTTTTTTTCTCCCCACAAATTGAGATTTCTTTTGGTGGTATTTTCTTGCCTGTGTGTGGTTTTTTTGTGCTATAAAAAAAACCCAACAGTTTTGAGAAAATTTTTTTTTTTTACTTTTTGCTATTAAACATGTCTAGTAAAGAAATTTGAAAAATCACATTTTGTCATAAATTTAGGCCAAAATGTATTCTGCTCCATGTCTTTGCTAACAAAAATCCCAATACGCGTAAATTAATTGGTTTATGTGAAAGTTATAGAGTTTACAAATGGCGGTATATATACTGGGATTTTTTGGGATTTTTTTTAATTTTTACTAGTAATGGGGACGATTAGCAACTTATAGCGGGACTGCAGTGGGCATTCTGACACTGGGGGAACTGACATGATGTCACTGACACTAATACAATGATCAGTGCTAATAAAAAGCGCTGACACTGTACTAATGGAACTGAGCAGAAAGGGGTTAACATATGGAGGCGATCAAAGGGTTAACTGTGTGCTGTTTTACTAGGGGCTGTGTGGTAGTGCTTCACTGTAAGCACATTGCTTTGCAGCCTGACATCCTTGCTTTTTTCTTTCTCTATGAATGGAGAAGAGAGATACATTGTATCTCTCTACCTTCTGGCATAGAGAGAGAAAAAAAGATGTTTGTAAAAAAAAAAAAAAAAAGATAAATAAATAAATATTAAAAAGTAAAAAATAAAGAAAAATATCTAGATCAAGGTGTGATCTAGTTCAGTGCCAGGGTTAGTGTTTGGGTCAGGGCCAGGGTCAAAGGTCAAGGTTAAAGGTTAGGGTCAAAGGTCAGGATTTAAAAAAACAAATTGGTATCAGTGTCAGTTAGTGTTAATGTGAGTGTCAGTGTGTTTTTTGGTTAAAAAAAACAAAAAAAAAAATGTGCACTATTGTTTCTGGGCTGTACTACGGGTACAAACAAATAACATACACATATATGGTATTGCTGCAATCGTCAAGACCTGGAGAATTTATTTTGGGTTGTTCTTTGGTGGTAGGTTATGGTCGTAACAAGAAACACAGCTAAATAAAAAAAAAATATTTTTGTTTTACTATTTTGGGCCAGTTTTCCTTTGATAATAAAAAAAAAATTAGGAGCTATCCATTACCATTTACCACCAAATGAAAGCCCAATTTGTCCTGAAAACAATCAAGGTATATTCCACTGGATGTACAAAGTAGTTGTGGTGATATGTATGGTTTTACTAACACATGTCAACGTTGCAGAATTGTGCTTAGGCATTTAGATTTGTTTTACCCTTAGGCGTGGTGCTGGTGGCATCTTATGGCACTTATTTTTGCCAATTAAAAGAAAATTAGCTGTTTCATGTTTTGTTGATTTCTCCCCCCATTTAACCACTTCCTGTCTGGCCCATGTACATAAACAGCCGGACGGGAGCAGTGCAGGAGCAGGTTGCCGTTCATAAACATTTTCAAGCTGTGCGTACTCCTCCGGACACAGCGGAATACTGATCGCTGTACAGGACCTCTGTGTGAGGTCCCGATCATGTGACCACTGATTGGCCAATCAGTGATCACATGAATAGTAGTAAGCAAGATGTCACTTCTGACATCATTGCTTACTACTAGTGAAATCTGTGAATGATCACAGAGGTCACATGGTACAAGGCTATTCAAACTATTGTACCATGTGACAAGCTGTGACCAATCACAACTTTCACAGTATTCCTCAATTGCTGCAAAAATGCAGCCAGAGTGAAGGAGAAATGATTGCTTTTACAGCCTTTATGGGTGTAAAATCAATCAGTGTAAAAAAAAAAAAAAAGTCTTCATCACCCCCCACAAGTAGTAGTGTCACTATGGTGACACTGTACTGCTAGGATGACAGTATGTTAAAAAACATAAACAATAACATTAAAAAAAAAAGAAAAAATGTAAAAAACATTTTTGAAAAATTATAATTTTTGGTTATAAACTAATTTGGATTATTTTTTTTTTACTAAATTTTGGGCAAGATTTATGAAGAAAGATTATTTATTTGCAAAATGTTATAAGAAAAACACTTCTTTTAAAAATGTTTGGACTTTTTCATTTATATAGCAAAAAAAAAAAAAAAACCACAGTGGG